AAATGAACAATGCTAAAACCAGACGGGAATCATTCATGCGTCGCAATCTCAACTGAACTAAAATATGAACCGAAAGCGAACTTGACGGTAAATAACCCCGCACAAGGACGGAAATAATACACATCAAATGAAGATATAATGTATAACATACAACAGAACTGTAACTAGAACCACAAGTGTAAGCGATCGTTAAACACACACAGAAAAGAGGCGGCCGTATTTTCCGATCAGCCGCCCACGAGTGAACCATGCATGCATGCGTTATACAACGAAAAATAACTTCGCCACACCGATCATATACTGCTAACAAAGCGATATAACTACCCAAAGGGCAAAAATCTTAACTAGACCCACAAAAAACACGCTACAATACAGACAAATACCAATATGAATAAAAGAATCACGTCCAAGTCCAAGTTTGATGCCTGAAGCTGTTCATTTTCAATTGGATCATTCACCGGCGAAACTGGTTCATTCTGAGGCGGAGCGGAATCAAGATCAATCGGTTGGGCAACAGCATTAAGTCGCAAGTACCGCTTCTTGTAACGTGCAAGGAGGTCGAACAGGCGTGGAGCCATACTGTAAAGTCCGTAAATTTCTTTATCTTGCACTTCTCTGTCTTGGCGATCAGCACAGAAAGAGCAGTTACAACCTGTAAACTAGGGTTTTATGCATTGTACATCATTATTTATTCATAAAACAACGTTAATTACTCAAATCCATTAGTTAATCAGCTTCCGCGGCGTGTTTGGCCAATTTGAATAGCGGTTCAATTATGATACGTTTTGATTCTCTTCCTTTTTGAATGCGTTTCTTAACTCATTGTAATCTTGAAATCCAGTCTGTTTCCCAACTACTTCCAACCATTTCGCCTGAATCGCTTCTTTGGTTTTATCATCCATCATCTCTCGCCCTTTCGTTGCAGATCCTGTCGCAATCAAAATAGGCACAGCATCATCAGGCAAGCCACAAGCTTTATTCCGATAACGTGGCCCAAGTACCGAAAATTTAGTTGACCTTCCCTTCATAAATTCAAATGAGCTCATTTCCACAGTCTTTTTAATCCTCTCTTCATCTTGAATTCCCATGAATGCTGCAACCTTCTTCACCACACTTTCTAAATCTTCTTTCATGTCCTCGAAGAACAGGAACAAAACGTTTGAGTCATGCCTGGGATAACAATAACGTTTTTATCATTGAGAAAGCCATTGATGTAGCCAGGGTTTTAATACAAAGAGAGTTGAGCACCAAAGGTGCAAGGGTCTGGGGGGCATGCTCCCCTGGAAAATTTTTGAAATTTAGAGCCTATGAAATGCCATTTTGTGCTTTTTGGGGTGAGATTTTACAAAATTCAGAAAATTATAACATCAGTCATCAAAGAATACAGAACAAAATAGTACATATTAAGACTTTGAACTATTTAATTTGAAAGTGAGATCTTACAGGATTCAAAAGATTATAACATTATATAAAATACACAAAAATAATAAGTTTTAAGACTTTGAACTATATGCAATTTTCCTAATGTCTTTTCCTAGAACTGTCTATCTATATACAGGGTGTATAAAAAAAAACTGAACAGATTTAAAATTGCTCTCAATTTCGCAAAACAGCTATTTGTATCCAGTTTTTTATATATGTAGCCTCTTTGGGTACTTATAATGTAGAATAATGAGAAAAATTTCTCGAACTCAAATTTTGTGAACCAGGGGGGTGTGTCTTTTCCAACAAACTAAAAATGG